GCGGACTCGTAGTTTTAGCTTTTACTGGAAGTATATAAAAACATGTTAAATTAATATTTGTTTACCTGAAATGACAGCTTTGCAAGTTATTACCACCGGGAGGGCAAGTAGAAGTGGACGATGCTGGAAAAGTGATAAACTGGACATCGGAAAACCTCCAATCTCACCTCCCAAATTCGGTAAACGCTAATCGCAAATACACGGCACTCGTGGGCCATAGCCGTGGTGGGAAAACCGCGTTTGCGGTTGCGTTAGGTCATGCCGCAACATTAGACACATCCTTAAAATTTTCAGCTCTAATAGGAATCGATCCAGTCGCAGGACCAAGCAAATGCTTACGAACCGATCCTGAAATCTTGACGTATAAACCAGAATCGTTCGACCTAGACATACCCGTTGCAGTGGTGGGAACCGGACTTGGACCGAAAATGAAGAATGTGATGCCACCATGTGCACCAGCGGAAGTGAACCATGTGGAGTTTTATAATGAGTGTAAAGCGACCAAGGCACATTTCGTGGCTGCGGATTTCGGACATATGGATATGTTGGACGATGATTTGCCCGGTTTTGCGGGGTTTATGGCAGGTTGTATGTGTAAGAACGGGAAAGGAAAAAAGAGTGAGATGAGGAAATTTGTGGGTGGAATTGTGGTTATGTTTCTTAAGTATAGTTTATGGGGTGATAAATCGGAGATTCAACAGATTGTGAAGGATCCTTCTGTTTCTCCGGCGAGGATTGATCCTTCGCCGGTGCTGGAAGAAGTTTCTGGTTACTTTGTCTAGATTTGAGGTTATGTACAAGACTCTTGTAACAAACAAGAGTGTTAAATAGTATCAGAAGGGTTTATAATAAACCCACCTATCGATGCTTTTTTTTTAGTAATTTACAGAAATGTCACAAAAAGTAGTTTGATTGTACAAAAAAAACACATGTGTGTTTTATCTACAAAAATGTCAAATGAGTTACTTTTCGGACAGATTTACCTTTCCTCTTTTTAACCTTT